CTCTATGATACTACATAAATTTGAAAGACCTAAAATAAAAATACTGGCTACAAACCTATTATTTTGCCAACTTGACCACAAAAGGCATCCTGGCATCTTCCAACAAGCCCAGAAGTAAGGAAAAGACAGCAAGTGACATTATATTTTTCTAGCTATAGCTGCCAAATTAGACTTTTTCCAAGCCTCCACAAATTTTACCCTTCCTAGTCTTCCAATCCTAGAATTCTAGTCAATACATCTGAAGGGCTCAGATGTCATCATGTAAGGAGCACCCACTACATACATGTGAAGTGCTGTGTTAGGCTTTGGGGAGGAAAAAACAGATACCATCCTGCCCTTTAAAGAGCTCAAAATTGAAAGTTCTTAACATGCAATGCTTATGGGAGACAAGAGAACAAGGGGGTGGCAGCTCTGTGAGGAGACAGTGTTCTTGCCATTTGTGTAAGGTGATGGCCAAGAAAATAAGCCAACCTGGTGGAAAAAAGAAAACACAAAAGAAACACAACTTATCACAACAGTGGCCTCATCCTACCTAGGAACAGATTAGTTTTTACCAAATTTCATGAGTTCCCAGCCCCTTATGGGTGCTTATTAAGTATGTCGAATGAAAGAAGGAAAGTGGAAATCAGTCCCTAAGCCTTAGGAGATCTCAAAGTCTGATGGAACAAGCGGGGCCAAGGCAATGGTTCGTGCCAAAACAAGCACGGAACTATAGATCTAGCCATGCTTCGAACATGCGGGCTACTGGAACAAAATGGTCGTGCAACCCTTATCCAGGGTGACTACACCTGAGCCCAGCCCAGAACCCACTGAATCTGAGTCACAAGATGATCAAAACCAGAAAGACTTATTCAAAGGCAACTTTGTTTTTTTTGTTTTGTTTTGTTTTGTCTTATTTTTACATACTGCAAAAGAAATGTGTACATATATTTTTCTTGGTGAAGACTCATCTGTGATTGTACTCTGAATGGACACCTGAAAGGTGGGTGAGTGGGCTTCCCCAGCCTCTCATCTCCCCTTCACAGTACTCCAGGCAGCCGGGAAGCCTAAGGCAGGAATTAGGAGGACAGGCTTCTGAGTGCGACAGAGCTGGCCTTGAATCCTAGTTCCACCCGTTACTCTGTGACCTTGGGCACAGGAAAGGAGCCTAATAATACTACCTACACCATGGTTGTTAGGAGGATTAAATGAGATAATGCTGGAAAAATCCTCAATTGCTGCATCTAACACATTTCAAGTCACAACAAATTCCAAGTCTTTGCTTTTTGTAACATCCAACTTAATGGGGAGGGGAAACAAAGTTACCAAATTAAAGAAAGAAGCTGACTATTTCAGCTGAAACTTTATAGTCTTCTAAAGAAATGGCCCCTCCTTAAAACCTGTTACACTGATTCTCTTTCCAAGAAGTTCCTATTCTGTAATCTGAGTAATCATGTGCCAACCTCAGTTCACTTTCCTATCAGACAAGTATGAAATTCTTCCTTTAGCACAAAGCCTATGCATAGGGTCGCAGGGGGGACTCTGACAACTAGAACTGAGCATGTTCTTAAAAGGCAGGTCTACTACTAAAATAGAAGAAATTAAATAAATATACCCAAGTCAAGAAGTTTTAAGATTTTTTGGCAAGGTAAAAAAAAAAAAAAAAGAAAGACAGACAACAAAACTGGAATCAAATTTCAGTTTACCTATTAAAGAGAAATAAACATGTCTTCAATAAATACGTAGCAAGTGCTCCCTGTAGACAAAACACATGTTCACTTGTGGTGTTGACCAGGATGTTTTAAGGAACACAGAGACCAACAAGACTTCAAAAGAGGTCCCTGCTCCGAAGCAGAGCAGGTATATAATTATAATACAGAGCAGGTGATAAGAGCTAGGAAGAGAGGTTTTAAGAAAAGTAGGATAGGAAGGGGTAGAAATTCCAAAGGTTGAGGAAGACCTGCTAGGAGATGGCAGTTAAGGCACCATTTGGAAGCAGACTGGAATTTCAGGCAGCAGATATGAGGAACAGGGGAGGAGGCAATTTGCTCGGATGAACAGAGCATGAATAAAGAAATCTTGTGTCCAACATTGGAGAAAGCTAACATTCCTATTACAGAAAAAGGAAGAAGAAAGCTTGCAGAGGTTATGGGTCTTATAAAAGTGGAATGAGGTATGCAAATCTGATTAATAATGGTCAGGAAGTTGTTCAAACACCTTTAACTTTGCCAGGTTCCTTATGACAGTTCACATCCACTGTATTCTTTCCTGAGAAGGTAAGCAATGAGTTCTGAGTCATAATTATAACACGGAACAAAACGACTGGAACAACTCCTGGGAATCACCTTAGGATGGAAGCACTTATTCAGCAAATCTATTATCTGTATTTTGCGGGGAGTGGTTTAGCAACCACTTTCCTTATAACCAAAGAAGAAAACATTTCGCTAAACCGTTCCTAAGTTCTGTTCCACTTCACACAATGTCTAAATCTTTTATGTACCTGTGAGGCATGCCTTCATATTTGTTTCTCAAGAAGCAGAAAACTTAACTGATCAACTTTTATGCATCATTCTATAAGCAGGATGGGAATCTGAATTTGCACTTTAGCTTACTCAATGAGATCATGCCATACAGAGCCCAGTAAAGAGAACCCAGCTTCTGGGGGCTTAGGTTGTTCATATCACACACTGAACAAATTATTGTGATAACTTGAAGCTGACAAATTCTTTCCCCACCAATGCAGAAAAATGCCTCTTGGGCAGCAGAATTTGAGGGATGACCTACAATAGATAAGACTGCTTAGGGGCGCCTGGGTGGCTCAGTGGGTTAAGGCCTCTGCCTTCGGCTCAGGTCGTGATCCCAGGGTTCTGGGATCGAGCCCCGCATCAGGCTCTCTGCTCAGCCGGGAGCCTGCTTCCTCCTCTCTCTCTGCCTGCTTCTCTGCCTACTTGTGATCTCTGTCTGTCAAATAAATAAATGAAATCTTTAAAAAAAAAAAGACTGCTGAGCTACATGGACGTCAACAGTGAAGAGTCAAAAAAGAAGACAAGCACAGTAAGGCTGGCTGCTAAAAAGGAAGCCTGCAAAGTTCTGAAATTCTTCACCCATATTCACAGAGGGCAAAAGCTGTATAAACTTGAGAATAATCACCATGTTGAGTTTGGCCCCGACTGAGCTTTATGAACTAGTTGCCAACATTTAAGAGAAAGATTTCACTGAGAATTCTAGACTATCAGCTTTTCTTTAAAAATCTGAAGCTCTGGCAACATTGCCTGGTGTTCCTGCTTGGCAGCTGTAGGCTATCCCCTTTGGCCTGAGTCTGCTCTCTTCTACCTGGCTGGCCCCTGCAGGCATTGTGTGGGTAATTCTTAAATATGATTTCAAAAATTAACCCACAGTTAACAAACATGTCTTTTTTTTTTTAAAGATTTTATTTGACAGAGAGAGACACAGGAAGAGAAGGAACACAAGCAGCGGAGCAGTGGGAGAGGGAGAAGCAGGCTTCCTGAAGAGCAGGGAGCCTGATGCAGGGCTTAATCCCAGGACTCTGGGATCATGACCTGAGCCAAAGGCAGACGCCTAACCAACTGAGCCACCCAGGCACCCCAACACATGTCTTAAAGATCTTTCTTAAATTGGGGAGATGGTAATGATGATTGTGTATTTTATATATTAATCAAATCCAGTTAGATTATTTTACTTATGATTCAGGATTACTTTACATTTGTATGAAAATAAGACGAAGTGAAAATAAGATATGAAAATAAGACAAAGTGAAACCTGCCCTGGGTGATCAAAAGATAAGCAATATAAGAGACAGTAGAACTACGTCATGGTAACTCAAACCAGGGTAAGTCATTAAGGGAGACTCAAACTAAAATCGTACTGAAAGCTTTTCACTTTAGACAAGAGAGACAAGTATCAAAATGAAAGCACAAATACAGGTTTTAGTCAAGTGGTCAGCTCAACAGAACTTGGAAGAAACATATAAACTTCATATATAATGTATACATATATATACACAGTATATACACATACAAAATAACGCATGACAAATGATTTGAAGTAAAGACAAAGCTAAATAATCATTCAATATTTACATCAACCTGTCAAGTGAGTCAAATGTCCATTGAAAGCTTGAGTTCTTAAACACCATTTATTTCAATTACTTTTATCTTACTAAACTCAGTCCTACATCACTTTAAGAACAAGTTTCCTAATTGGACAGAACATATTAATAAGCAGAGTCCCTTAACTAGCACTCCGTTGTGATAAAACTGCTGTCATACATGGTAAATAAAAAGGGAAACAGAATTCTCCTATCATTTTACGATGTGAAGCACGGAGAAAACCATCTGTAACCCGCAAAGTATCAGAAATTTAAATGTTCGAGTATCCGGAATTAAGTAAAGATGCCGGTAAAAGCAGTGTAGTGTGACTTTTTCCTAAGGTGTTCTGCGCCCCCCCCCACCCCCCCACGCCGGCATTCCACCTTCTGCAATTTCTGTGGGAGAGGATGACAACGCATCCCCACGCCAATACTATATTCGTTCTACTGCTCCAAAGGACGCCGTGTTAGTCTACCAAAGCCGTGACACAGCTTTCGCCCCATCCAAGGACGTCCTGCGCCCCGCAGGCCAAATGCTCCTGGTGAAGCCCGCACTAGCGGTCAATGTGGCCACCTGTCCCTGGCTGCAGGCGGGCCGCTCTGCACGGATGCTCGGCGAGTCGTAGCTCCCTTTGGGGGTGGAGTCCCCTATTAGTAGGTGACCCGGCTCCACCACCAAGGCCAGGGCTGCTCAACTCGACCGCGGGGGTTGCGAGAGGCCGAGGTCCCCCAGGCCCACGCAGGGTAGCTCCAGCGTGGCAGGTCCCGGTCTGGGGGCCTTGGCCTCCACCCTTTGCCTAGCGACTGGGCCCGGGGTCGGGGAAGGCGCGGGATGGGGACAAGAAAACCAGCCCCGAGGTCCCTGGGCTCCCGCCTCGGCTCAGCGCCTTCTCAAATGTCACCCTAGGCTCACCAAAAAGCGCGTTGAGCTGGTGCCCTGGTCCACTGCCCCCACCAGTGGCCCCAAAACTGCTTTCTTCGCGGCTGCCATGAAACCAGCTTCGGGTCAGCGGGCTATCGTGGCCCGTTTCCCCGGTGACGGCGGCGGGCGGGGGAGGGGCAGACGGCGAGCCTGCAAGGCGAGGCGGCGTGCACGGCAGAACGCTTGGACAGAGCTCCAGGCAGCCCCTTTACCCGCGCGGAACCCTATCACCCCGCCCCTCCGACCCAGACCCCGCCCCCAAACGCGTTCTCCACGACTCCGGGGGCGTGGCGGGGCGGGAGGGAGGGGGGAATGCGCTGCCTGCCCGGCGAGCCAATTAGCGAACGCGGAAAGAGGCGGAACGCTCCGACAATCAGAGGGCGGTGAGACGTCACGGGGGCGGGGCCTGGGCGCGGCGGAGGCGGTGGCCCGCGCAGCAGGTCACGTGGGTTCCTGCGACCGGGCGGCCCAGCCATTCTGTTGCAGGGCCGGGGGCGGAGGCGGTTGCTGCCCTTTGGCTGGGAGCGCCGCTGTCTCTGGGAAAGGGGGACAACTCCCAACCCGGCCCCTGGGGCTTCCTTCCGCGAAGGGGTCCCAGAGTGCAGAACTGCTGGTCCCTCTGGTGGGCTGTGCAGAGCACGACGTGAGTCGTTCTCGACTGAACTGGTCAGGCCTTCCCGCTCTTCCCACGCCCCGCCCACCTCCCCTCTCCTTGCCCTGGATAATAATTCCCTGTGCGGGAACTGGCCCCATGTAGTGTGACCTCCCGAAGCACAGCGAATCCCCATTCTTTGTAAGCTTTTCAGGGACAAGGAACGCGGAAGTTCTTTCGGTTTAGCATTTAAGGGAAGCGTATAGCATCAACCTCCCGGTTACTTCAGCTGACAGTCAGGAATCCAGCAGCTCCCTGTCCTGATGCGCCCTTGGCTCCCCGCTTGACCTCGCTCGGGTATCCCCTCCCTCCCACGCAATTTCCTCTCCCTGTATTAACTGCTCTACATTGCAAAATGCGAGGAAAGGGGCTCTCTCATTTGACCTTGAATTTACCTTGCCAGGATCCTTTTGAGTCCTCTTTCAGGGGCTTTTCAAACTTTGAATCAAAACCCGCTGTGAGAAATAGCTTAACTCCAGGTGTGTGTGTGTGTGTCCGCGCGTATGTCCGCATACATTTTATATTTAATACATGTATTTTTACATAGAAGTAGTTTATGCATATTAACGTTATTGAGAAATGTTTCTAAAACAATTTATCTTTCCATGTTACGCATTCTGCATTGTCTTATTCTATTGCATATCATTTTATCAACGGAGTAAAGGAGGCAAAATTGAAAACAACAAAGGCCTTTATTTGGGGGCTCAGAATTCTGAAGGAATCAAAAAAGGGTCTTGGTCATGAAAGGAAAGCAAGGGTTTTTTATGAGCAAGAAGGAAGGGGTGATTTTATGATTTAGATAAGTGAAAAAAAAACTGCTACTTTGGTCCTAACCAGTGGAGGCACTTCTGATTACTATCTTATCGTTTTATTGGTGCCATCAACCAAAACTGTCTCTGGTATGTATTAATTCACTTGACTGGGTTCCTAGGATCTGAATGCCAGTTCTGTGTTTAAACTTTATGACCAACTCTATGTAAAATAGTTGCTGCTCCTGGCCTACTTCAAGAGTTCATGAGTTGGAAAGAAAAATGGAGCATTTTGATCAAGATTTTTTCTGGAAAAATATCAGAGATCAATATTATTCCCCGTTAACTGGAGTTTAAATGTTTTGTTCTGAACCTTAAGAGGTCTGCTCTGTATCTCAGGAACTAGTCTTTTGAAAATAGGTATATTCAGTTAACCGTTGTGTCTCATTTAGGGAGGTGGTCTTGAAAGGGGGCTCCCAAAGTTAGGCCCATACTGTGCAAGCAATCAGGTAATTTTTTAAAAAGCCTCTCTATGGAAACAAAAGAAAAACAAAGGAAAAAATGTTACTGGTTGGAGCAAATTATAAAACCACTGTGGTCCTGAGTGCTGCCAGTGAGATTTCTAGATATCAAGTTCATACCATCTTCAGAGGGAGAGAGAGCAGGCGGTGGCACTCTGATAAATTTTCCTAGTTTGCAGTCTGAGTATCTCTGGCGATCTTTCTGAATGGCCCATACAGCAAAAGGCATGAAGACCGTCTAAACATGGGCTGTTGTGGCAGTTTCTCTGAAGTTTCTCTCTCAAGTTGTCTAGCTCCAGTTTGCAGGGCTTCAGGAATGGCAACTTTTTTTTAAGATTTTAAATATTTATTTGACAGAGACAGAGAAAGCAAAGGGGGGAGGAGCAGAGGGAGAAGCGGATTTCCCGAGGAGCGGGAGCCCAATACAGGTCTGGATCCCAGGACCCAAAGCCAAAGGCAGACGCTTAAGCTACTGAGCCACCCAGGCGTTCCCAAAACAGCAATTTTAGTTCTCAGTGATTCCAAGTCAAAAGAAGGAAAGAAAACTAGAAACCTTAGTTGGAGAATCATAGCCAGATATTTGAGGACACCAGAATTCAGGATTCAGCACAGTTTTATGGGGAAACAACCACCCTCAATCAGAACTAGAATCTAATATCTGAACATGTGTGTTACTGCAGGGTTTTTTTCTCTCTTTAAAAAGAAAACCACCAGGGCGCCTGGGTGGCTCTGTGGGTTAAGCCTCTGCCTTCGGCTCAGGTCATGATCTCAGGGTCCTGGGATGGAGCCCCGCATCGCATCGGGCTCTCTGCTCAGCGGGGAGCCTGCTTCCTCCTCTCTCCCTCTGCCTGTCTCTCTGACTACTTGTGATCTCTGTCTGTCCAATAAATAAATAAAATCTTTAAAAAAAAAAAAAAGACCACAGGCCCAAAATGGTGTGACTTCTGCCGAGTTCCCAAACTGGAACCTAATACCTAATATAATTTCGGTTTCAATCTCCCCCAGAAATGTAATTTTTTTAATTTAAATTCAATTAATTAACATATATTATTAGTTTCAGAGGTAGGGCTCAGTGATTCATCCGTCTTACATGATACCCAGTGCTCATTATATCACCTGCTCTCCTTCATGTCCCCATCACCCAGTTACCCCCATCCTCCTACCCCCCTTCCCTCCAGCAACCCTCAGGTTGTTTCCTATGATTTAAAAAGCCTCTTACCATTTGTCTCCCTCTCTTTCCCTATGACCCTCTGTTTTGTTCTTAAATTCCACATATGAGTAAGATCATATGATAATTTTCTTTCTCTGACGGACTTATTTCGCTTAGCAAAATACCCTCTAGTTCATTCCACCTCGTTGCAAATCCAGAAATGTAATCTTAACTGATGGGTCAGTCTGGAATTTTCCTCCTCAATGCCAAGGAGTCTGTCATGTGGGGCCTCTCCATCCCCCTCCAAAGGAAGAAGAAGTAATCTGCATGATAAGATCCCCTGCTTCTTCCCCCAAGGGAAAGTGACCCTGCCTAGAACAATCCTTTTCTTTTACTAATAAGGTTCAGGCCCCACCTTCTTTCCTATAAACACCCTCCATTTTGTACAATTTCTCAAATCTTCCCTCTATATGCTAGATGGGGTGCTGCTTGATTCATGAATTATTTAATAAAACCAATTAGATCTTTAGATTTATTCAGTTGGGTTTTGTTTCTTAACAGTCCCTAAAATCACCCTCATTTCCACCAAAGACAGCCAAATGAATACTAATTTGTAAAATAAGTCCAATTTCAACACCTTGGCCTGATTCTTTTCTGAAGTGTAGCAAGAATAGTGATGGATTCTATAGCTTGTTTTAAATCTGCTTTGCTGAAACTTTTCATAAGCAATTTTAGATTGACTTTTCAGCAGCTTCCTCAGGCTAAGAAGCCAACGCCAATAACTTGCCATCAGACTTTTGTATAATTAATAGCTATGGATTTGGGTGAATCCTCCCTTTTAGAGGTCCCCCAAATATCCTGAGGTTCCTGCACCTGCCAGGGAGTGACCTTCCTTACTCATGTTGTAAAGTTGCTGGGAACCCTATAAGCAAGGTATCAGGCTTATTGTTCCAAGGGGCTTCATTGGCTCCATAAAGTCAGCCTTAGTTCCCTAAAGCTATTTGGTCATATCTGAGTCTATGCACTTCTCTCTCAAATACAACATTCCAGTCAAAGCCTTGGTAACATAACCAATGTTTACAATGGTGTTCTGTTACAAGGAGAGCAGATTCTTAATAAACTCTGCAAATAACTATAATTGCCATGAAAACAGAAATATTCACTGAGTTTCTAAACTCTGGAGGGGTCAGGTAGGGAGAAAAACACAAATGTTTCATATTTGTTCACAAAGGAATATTTAATCAAATTTCTGTTCATAGATAGCTTAAGAGGGAAAGTTTCCTTAAAGCTGGAAGAGCAAACATTAGAAAACCAGCAACGTTTCAAACAAGACTCATAAAAACTGTGATCATCTTCCTCAGTTTATTCTGGTGCATGTTATTAATTCTTCTTGTTTGAATCCACATTTCACACTAGTTACAGAAATTCGTATCCTGTTCCGTCTTGTTATCAGAAACCTGTATTTATCAAAAGTCCTTTCCCTGAATCTTCTTGAAGCTGAAACACATTTGCAAGAGCATCAAGTATAAAACAAGAACTGTAAATGACAAAAGATTCAGAATGGCCATGGTTCAAGATCCAATGAGAGTTCCATGAGAGTTCATTACAATGCAGCTGACAAAGAAATGTGGTTATTTCTGTGACACACAACACTTTAATCATTTGAATTACAAGTGATAACATTGTACCAGAACATATTAAAACTTTAGGAATTTACTATTATTTCTAGAGCAGTTATAGTAATAGCAATTCATCCATACAATATAACCCAAGGTTTATCATCACTTACCTGACCATGCTTTGGCAATTTGACAATGTATTCAAAAAAGACTTCATTTAGAATTTGAATTGGGGGAAGTTTGTTAAAAATAACATAAGTTTTTAAAACATCTGCCTAAATAGGATCACAGATAATTACAAAACTTAATACTCTTTTATTTATTATCCAAGGTGAGAATAAAAGATTCTAAAAGCAAATAGAGAAGGTTACGTAGTTGTTAACAAAACTTAGCTCTTTTAATATTGAGAAGATCAGTTTCCTTAAGTAATCAAAGACCAGATAAAGACAAAACACCTCAAAAATTCAGTTTTCTTACCTAGAGTACATTTTTAC